GAAACGCACCGAAAGGTTGCATTCCATCTCAAAACCGTCCAGAACGGTTGCATTCTACTCCCTCACCGTCCAGAACGGTTGCATTACACCCCTCCCCCGGCATATCAGAGCCAACAAGAAGTTAGACGAATTTGAAATATTGAGAAAGATCTGGGATAAATGCTTTCATGATAATAACACTACAATTTTTGAACATCAAGAACCCGTTTAATCACAAGAGATTGATTATGCAGATATATAATGATAATCAAGAGATTTGTTCAAAAGCTTTCAGGACTAAGCTTGCATTGGTTCCTCCAAAACCAAACGAGTTAACAACGGCTATTTTACGGTCATCATTCCATCTTGTTCCCTGCTGAAGTTCAAATCATAAACAAATTTCTCGACGTCACAAACATTTGTAAAAATATTAGCTTGAATGTTCGAATCAACTTCCTGCACGTTGAGCGTAGGAATTAAGAATTCATCACGTAAATTGGCTATCGTTCCTATTGTCTCCACAGCACCAGCTGCTGCGAGCAAATGACCAAAATGCCCTACATGCATGTTTAAGTTAGATGAGTTCAATTCTTTTACCTTTAAAAGACGATACAGGTACACGATTCTTACCAAACACATCACAGACAGCTTTAGATTCGATAAGATCGCCTAAAAATGATTATTTCTTTCACATCAGGTTGTGATACCTGTTGTGGTCGAAGTGGCATGAGCATTAACATAACTCACATCTTCAGAGGCTATTGTTGCATCAGTTAGTGCTCTTTGCATGCTCAACTGAGCACCTATTCCTGATGGGTGAGGACTGGATATATGGTAACAATCTGACGAAATGCCTGAGAAGATAAAACTTTGCTTTTTGGCTTTTTTGGCGAAGCACATACCAAATCCTACAAGCTCCGCCAGAATCGGAGCGCTTCGAGCTTGAGCTACCTCTAAGCGTTCCAGGAACAAGAGTCCCACACCTTCAGATAGAACAAACCCAGACCTCTTCTCATCAAAAGGACAAGAATCAGCTGTGCTGCTTCCTCGTGTCAGAGCTCGCATTCTTTAGTGTTTCAGGGCATGAAGATATGATAATGTAAAATTATAACCTGTCAAATCCAGCGAGGGCGACGGCGTTCACACAGCTCTCGGTAGCTCCGGCCAGAGCACTTTTAGCCCATCCGTGACGAACTGCACGGAAAGCATTACCTGAAAACAAAACACATCAATTCAGTGTTCTATTTTGTATTAAAAACCAATAGCGTGAAGTCCAGTCGCACATGCAGTAGAGCTGCTATCTGCTCCTCCCATCATGCCATACCTGTAAGTATTATTCATTCTCTCTAATTTGAAGGTGAAAACTTCATAGCAACATATCCAGCAGGTAGGTTGTTTAAAATACGGGGTACAAAATATGGAGATACTCTACGAGCTTGGCCTTTCTGTATCAGAGCCGAAGTTTCTCCTATCGCTTCCAAGTCAGCTACTCCTACATTTTATTCAGATGCTGATCCGTAACTTTCGAGAGACTGTTCTACAAACCTGTTCCTATGTTGACCAAAGTTTCGGTATGATCTAATGAAGTAGCGTTCGCAGCAGTCAATGCCTAAGCAGAAAAAAACGAAACTTAAACTCATGCGGACTCGAAAAAAACTTCCTCAGCCGCTAACAGTGCCAATTGACTTGCTCTGCTCATTTCACGTTTTTGCCCCGCAGTCCATCTTTCGAAATCTGCTGAGTTATCATCAATAGCTCCGGTCTAAGTTCATGCAATGAAATTGATTATCCACCAGTCTGAACAGACCAAGAATCCCAAACTTTCTTTATACTTGAGCCCTGATATGCCTTTCACGAGAGACTGGTGAAGTACTTGAACTCCAGCCCCGTAAGGAGTAACAGTTCCTACTCCAGTTACGACAACTCGATACATCTAAAAAACAAGAGCTTCCTCTAACGGGTAACACCCAAGAAACATCAAAGGGGCTTAACCTCAAAAAAGAATAAGCCGAAAATCAAGTTCAACATTTATGACATTCAAAGCAAAACAATAAAAACGAAACTTCTCATAGGCAGATCTTCGATTTCACTTTCTCGGCGAGGTCCTTATAGGCTTTAACAAGAACAGAATCCGGGGCAGTCTGAAATATTTTTCAAGGTATACAATTTGCCAAATCTATCTACCGTGAAAAAGTCTTCTCCGCTGTCTAAGGCTCCTGCTAAGCGTGGCTCCATGGGAAGTTGAGCAAGAAGTTCTAGTTCACTTTGCTTGCACATTTGCTCAGCTCCACCTAACGCAAGATGTTAAATTCGAACTTTATAAGAGAGAAAACCTGTGGATGAAGGGAAGAGGATGGTTGTGTGATTGCAGTTGGGGCAAACAAAACGGGCCATGTTCTCGACGACACCAATTATTGGTACTTTCGTTTTTCTACAGAAAGAGATCTGGAACACGTAACGACTCATGGATTTAACAAATTAACCGACCTCTTTTCGGACATCTAACAAGGAAACTTCCTGAGGAGTACTGACAATCAAAGCACCATCGATTGTAGTAGTCTAAGTACAGATATTTGAAAATTCATTCAATTGTATGCATACCTGTAACAGCAGCTGTACTAGAGATATGTGCTCATCAGAAGTTCCGGGAGGAGTGTCGATCAATAAATAATCCAACTGCAAACTTAGAGTCATAATACGGTGTGAATTATTCAGAAACCTCTCCCCAATCAACATCTTGTAGGAACTGTTTGATCATTCCGTTCTTCCTTGCTCCTCTCCAGATTATCGCATCATCTTTGTTACCTGAAACACAAGATTCCATAACCTTGAATATTTGGCTTCACCCAGTAGAAATCCTATACTCATAACGGTCAAGTTATCGGCCACAGAAACTGGAGCCCATCCATCAGCACTATCGTGCACGATTTCTTGTTCAACTCCCATCATTCGGGGTTGTGATGGTCCACAGATATCAACATCCAAAACTGCTACCTAAAACAATGAACTCAAAACCTGCATTGTAGTTTCCATCTCTACCTGAACATTGGGATCTGATGCTAACGTTCTAGCCAATGTAGCAGTAACAGTACTTTTCCCAACCCCACCTTTACCACTGAGGATAAGAATCTGACAAGACAATTTCAAGGAGGGTCTGGAACTACACAGACCTTATGTTTAATAGAACGGAATCGATCAATGATTTTTTCATTAGGGGCATCAGGTGTAGCTTGGCCAGTTGAACAAGCTCCCTTAAGAGCAAAACTATTTCAGAAGGTTTGAAGTGGTATGTATTACTTTGTTTGGACATCCATCACAAGATGAAGCCTTACCAGCTGAAGCTGAAGCAGTTCCTGGGCAACCAGCGTTTGCGTTTACAGGAATTTCTTCCATTAATGGAAAATTCTGAAGTATCAGAGAGATTGAAAAGTCACATCAGTAGTGAGATGTTCGAGTAAGTATTACAACTCGCAAGGTATACGTAATCAGAGAGGAACATAAGAGAAGCGAAAAATAAAAATTCATTATAAGTTGTGATCTAATGAAATCGATGGAAAAGATAGTATCACACAGCACTGAAAATATAGAAACACCAGTAAGAGAAGAACCGTCTGATATGAGATTGATAAAGGAAACACGAAGGAATGAAGTCTAACGAAAAGTTACAACTTCTGTTTGCGTATTCTTGATTCTACTTCTTTCCTCTTGTCCACCATTCCCACAAAAAGACACTATCGTTTGATAGCTTTTTTTCATCTGAAATTTATAAATTATCCGCGAGTTCTTTCCTTCTCTTCTACGTTCTGGTAGCTTTCAATCTCTTCCTCCTTCTCCCATTCAGCAGTTCCCCTTTCCCCTCTTTCTCTCTCACTTCATCTACGTCTCTTCTATTTGTTCATTATTCCTTTATCTCTCATTTTGTATGTTTACATCATCCTACTTTTGACATTTTGACATTGAATTCGAAAAGTTGACAACTAAATACAAATCAAACTGAGAGATGATTTTCCACAGCCATAGAAGAGCTCTCGTAGATTATGCGGAGCATAATAGTTTCATCAATGGCTATATATTCAGAATGAACTGAACATCAATAAAATAAGAAGCAAATAGGAGACTAACACTATGAAGCCAAGTTGGTTCTCAAATAGTTGTATAAGTTTTTGGCTCTGATTGGTCCAAGGCCAGGACATAAAGCTAATTGATCTTCCGTTGCTTCACAAATGTTATGAAGAGTTCCAAAATTGAAGAGCAGTCTGGAAAAACAAGAGTTTTCTTTTTTCTTTTTCTGACTTCCTCTCTCTTTTTGTTTCTTGCAAGATTCAATTGTGACTTACCGTTTAGCATCTGTTTTCGTGACGCTACGTGCTCCAGTCAGAATACCAATTGCACTGTTAAGAAGAGCCGTTCTGTGATCTGCCGGCGCTGCTATGCCGGATTGTTGTTTATCCCTTAATCAAAACGTTCTTATCATTCAAATTTATCTGTTTATACTTGAATTTGGGATCCTTGTTTTCGACAAGCTTCAAATTCTCAATGTACTCCGCCGCCTCTTCCAACTGAAATTCTGTTTCAAACTATCTAGACATTTAAAAGGACCGAGTAACATAGAATGAGAGACCAATCCATTCGATGACAAAGAAGATTCAGCTCACGCAAATGATGCCGAGCTTCGTCCACATTACAAAGACACAGCAGAATCTGAAATGTACACTATGAATTTACATAAAAAGTAATCAGTTCAACCGACTTTACTTTGATACTTGTTCTCTCCTTTTCCTCCAATTCTTGAGTGTACGTAATTAGGATGAAGACGATGATACTGAAATTTCAAACAAATCATTTATCCCATCATCGAATTTCTCATGTCTACTACCGCAACATCTCATTAGCATATTTATATCTCACGTGAGATGTTCACGTGAATGAAGCAGTAAACAAATTATCATTTGAATCCAAGTTACGACGAAGAGCGGTTGCATTAGTATTCATCTAATTATTTCTTCCTCTCCCTTCCTCACACTCTTCTTTCTTCTCTCTCCTTTTATTCTCTCTTTAATTTTTTATAAGGTAAAACATCTTACCTTCATAGCTATATAGATTACACCGCATGTTGGACCACACTCGAAATCGACTGGAGGATCGCCCCACTCATAACGAACATTACGAACATACTTCAACATTGGATTTTTTTCTTGTCGTCTCCGATTAATAATTAGCTGACTTCCAAAGTTGGAGACTGCGTCTAATTGCGTTCTATTCTGGCTATTTACCGATTTTGGAGCCTCTCCTCTGTTATTTTCTATGTAATTCGAAGAGGAAGAAGCTGGATCTTCAGCTCCTCTATTGCCAACATGTCTTGCTCCGTCGTTGCTCATTTCTGTAAGTTGAAGTTAAAAGATAATTCTGTTTAATTGATTGACAATGATATTGGTCCACAAGTTCTCTATTTTTTCTTTAAACCCCCCCAACATCAAACTTTACCTGATTTGTACTCTGCTCTATGTTCCTTCTACTTCTCTCTAGACATGCTTATTTTATCTCACTTTACCTTACTCTCATATAGTATCAGACAAGTTTTATCTTTCAACATTCTGAAGCCTGGCAAGTTCATCAAGTTCATCTATTGCACCACAATAATAGTAATGATGCTATTTTGGATCGGTTCTTTTTCCATTTTTTGGAAATGTGATTGGTCGAACATCCGAATGATGAACGTTCACCGTTCCTCCATAGTCATAAAAAGAGAATAAAAGAGCTTTCATCTAAGATAACTCTCTCTTTCCCCTTTAATAGCAGATATATTTCTCTTTTGACGTCAATAGCCTATTGACTAACGAACTGCTCAATGTTCAGACAACATAATGATTAACTTTTCAATTGGACGTCTAACCTCTCACAAAAGACAAAACGAATATTATCCAAATCTCCAATAAGATGATGTTCCAATTAAGGTTTGCTCGTCGAAACCGAACTTCGTTATCATATTCTCTCCGAAATTGAAAAAGAAAGATCCAGATTGGATGAGCGGAGTTGAGGCATGGCTCAAACTAAAAATATAAATTAATATCATTTGCACCTCCCTCTCCCTCGGGGCAGAAAAAGTTCTTCAAATGACTCTTTGGGTAGTTCAATGCCTTTCATGTTAAATCTCTACTCAGTTTTAGAATATGAAAGCATCCTTTCAAGACAAAATGAAGAAGGAAGTTATTCTGCAAAGCGTTCTAACCAACAAAGGCGGTCCAGAAAAGAACTGTAGTATTCCTAGAATACCCATCTGTGGTCATCCAACTTTCGTATTCTCCCTCAGCTATTAGCAGATCGTACCCATCAAGCCTCGCCTCACCTGCTGCGCATTGATACTTCTTCTTGAAGCGCACAAATTCTTTTTTTGAATCTGTGCTCTGATTTGAAAACGTCTTCTCTGATGCATTTCCGCCGATTTGTGAATTTCAGTGTCTTTCCTCTTCAAATTTTTTCATTCAAACTTCATTTTTGGTCATTTTTATTCTGTCTATTCTCTATTTCGCAACTTCTCCTAATCATGAAGAGCTAAAAGAAAGAAAGAGAGGGGAAGAGAGGACAGAGAGATGAAGAGAGAACATCCAAAAAGATTGAGAGAGTTGAAGAGAACAAGAGAAAGAGTTATATCGAACAATGACAAAGTCGATAATCCAGGATGTGACAGACAACTCAAACGATAACATAATTTCCGGTAGTCTCTCTTCATCATTTTCTCTCCACTATTCTCATGCTCTAATGATTGCCAATCGGAATACAATCTGCTGTCCAGAAAACAAATGAGCAACTACGTTGTTTCTTTTTTTCTTCTTTGCATTAACCTCCTCCGCTTTTTTATATTCTCAGCTATGGATGACAGTGTGTGAAGAAACAGAGAGAGGCTGAGAGGGGGCGAGAATGGACTTGTTGCCAAAATCTGAGATGACCATTTGAAGACTGACATACTGGAAGAAGCCATTCAAATAGAAATAGAGATATGAACTATGAAGGAGTGAATATGCTATCATCCAATACTTTGCTCTCGTGTGAAACTCTTTTCACAAGGTATTGAAAGTATGAAGAAGAGGAAGAAGGATGAGATATGTCAGAAAAGGGGAATGTGATATTCATGCACATGAAAACCCAAGCTACTCTTTATGTCATAAATACATATTCGGTTGTTCAAGTGGACAATCCTTGCTCTTCGAAAGCTTATTTTTCGATTAAAATCACATCAACATCATAAGAAATGATCGAACTAAGAGCAATAACATGTGATTAATTCATTATTCAACCCCCCCACCAATTATGAGAAAGACAGAAGAATTGGAAGACAATCTCCCTCTCTTTCTCTCTTGCTTTGTAAACAAGCAAAGCCTTCAGGTGTTTTTGTGGAGCAAGATGAGGACGGAGAGCATCCTTAATCCATCTGTGAATAATTCAGTTCAATAATAATATCGATCACATCCAACACAAAACGGCTGCCCAGTCTTTCTGTGAAGAGAAGCGGGCTTTTCATTTCGAATAAAGCTCTACAACCCTCCCTCCGATTATCTTGTTAAAGCTCCAGCCTTCCGTGATCAAAATCATCTTACAGGCTCATTGTAGGCATATTTCAATTCTAAGAAGTACTCCGTCTGCAACTCATTTTCAGCCAACTTTTAATCATTTTCAATAGTTTTGTCGTCGAATGTTCATCATCTCATTCTATTTCCAGACGATGAGAGAGGGTAGAAACTATTTGTTCTCATTTACTCTATTACGTCCAAAAAGCAAAAAGACGAGCAGCCACTAAGAAAAAACCCTGCTAAGATCCAAATGCACATCCACAACACACACACACATACACGCACATGAATGAATGTATGCATGTATGTGTTAGTTATATATAATAATATTATAAAAAAGTTGATAAGTTAAGACATCTGGCATTTGAGAGAATAAGAGAAAAGGAAAAGCTTGATGTATGTGTATGCGCGTGTGCCAGACACATGTTCTTTTATATCGAATATTCGACGACAAATCCGTGAACACAATATTCCAACGGAAAAGCATAAAAATGAATCCGTAAATGTTCCGTTAGTATTCTATGCCTAAGCGATTAACTCTACCTTATATGAGATAATAAGAAAGATGGTTGAGAGAGAGAGAGAGAGATAGAGAGTGAGCTAGCAAAGCTTCTTTGCCGACGTTAGCAGTGTTGCTGCTGTGGTTAGAAGCAGCAGAGTGCGAACATGAAGATAAGTTTTCTCAAAGTTTGAGCATTCTCCTAGTCATTGATATATCAACCCATACAACTACTTATTCACTTCCAAAAACAATATTTTTTCACGAAAAATATATTAAAACAAAAAAATATTATCTTATTATTCCATATTCCCATCCTTTTTCTTTTATTTTGTCATTTTGATCGCCACTTTTCTTCTCAGCTTCCCTTCTCTTTTCGTTGCTTCTATTCGAGCAACCATCATCCCCCCTTCATACAACTACAACCACCAACATCACCAACACTATTTTAGTTTTCTTCCTCCCCCTTTCCTTTTTCGTTTTTTTCCCATCTTTTCTCTTCCCAACATGCTTTGCAGTCAATTTATTGCTGTAACTGAGTTGATCATTCAGCCATTTGCCTCATTTTGCTCATATATATATATATATAGAGAGAGATACAATCGTCTCATAATATGATAGCATTTTCAGCTTTTCTTGCGCCCTATATTGTGCTTCTACGAGGTTCAGAACATAAACAATCGAAATCATCAAAGTTAACGGTGTAGTAAAGAGCGAGCAAGATGAAGAGACAAATACAAGACGAGCAAGAGATGTTCTGCGAGCATACGAGAGAGAGAAAGAGAGATGGAGCTGATCAGAAGAAAAGTAGAAATGAATGCAACCGATCTGTGAGTCTGAAAACTTTCATCACCTTTTATGGGTTCTATCAAAGTCTCAAATATAGAAACAATAAAACGATAAAGATAAATAATATGATTTCGTCTCCATTCTTGCTGAACATCTCTCTTGCAACTCTTTTCATTCCCCTTTTTATCTTTCACATTTGTCTGACATTTTCAGACGTTTTGCTCAACAAAAATCTTCCTGATCAATCTTAAAAGCTCATCTTCCTATTCAAAAATTGCCAAAAAGCTTCCATTACTTGTCTAATAACACAATCTTATCACTGTTTGCCATCATATTCATTCTTCATCCTCATTATCAGGCATACTTTCTTCTCCAAATGTGGATCTATCGCATAGCTTTTCGTGTGCCTTACGAGTCTTGGAGTGTTTTTACTCATTTCTTACTATTTCCGACAAAAAGAAGTAAAGAGTGGAAAAGTTTGGAAGAACAAATTGACCAAAATACTTGTTCTCTTCACAGCCTCTCATCTGCGAATCTCTCTTATCTTTAACATGACCTGTTACATCTCGAACCTTACGCATAAACGCCGTTGTTGTTCGCCACTTATGCCTTTCAATATGTAATCATCACTCTCATACTCTAACAAACGACTACGGGAAAAGCAAATGCCACGAAAGCTCCGTGAAGAAAAAAGTTTTATACTCAAATTGCCCTAAGTTTTCAAGCTAATTCCAGAGCAGACAACAGCTCTGTTAAAACTTGGAAACTAGCAGACAATTAAAGAGCCTTTGTTCTTTCTTTTTCCGATTTTTTGTCTACGAAGAAACAATTTGAAAACGAAGGAAAAAAGAAACGAGAAATGAGAATGTATGAGTGAATTTTGAAAAGTTTCCGTCAAGATCATATTGACAACTACATTGAAAGAAGATGAATGAAACCTAACTTCTCATTCAAACTTTGGCTACCACTTATTCTAAATGTTTTACTGCATGGATTTCTCAACTGTGTTGTCATCATGACTATTCCCCTTTTTCTCAAATTATCGACCATTCTTTGCCAAAAGACATAAGAAGCAAACGAGTGGAGAGCTGAAGAAGCAACACAAGACTACAAGACTTTGTCATACCAACCACAAATAAAGGAGAATGAAAAAAAAAATATAAAAGAATGGCTCAGCTAACAGAGGATTGACTATCGTCTGATGCCGACACAAGACCAACTTTTCATTTTTTGATCTTTTCTTATAGCTCATGTCATGTATCAGTAAATCTCTTTTTGTATATTCAAACATGCTCTCAAAGCTCAACAAAAACTTTTTAAAGAGTACGAAGCAGTGAGATGGGAGAGAAAGCGGCAAAAGCGTAATAAACTATCGAAAAACGAGCATAAAAATATGATGAACAAGCCTGCCGGCTTTTCATGCCTAACTAGCAGTTTTTGCTTTTTTTTTCTTCCATTCAAGGCTTTATTCCCAGAAAATGTCCTCTTTCGAGGTATCCATGTTAGCTAAGAGCTTATAGCA